GAGGAGACGAGACGAGACGAGACGAGACGAGACGAGACGAGAGGAGAGGAGAGGAGACGAGACGAGACGAGACGAGACGAGAGGAGAGGAGAGGAGACGAGACGAGACGAGAGGAGAGGAGAGGAGAGGAGGGAGGGAGGGGGCTGCTACTAATTGCTATTGTGCGTGCTGTGGCTACACCACAGCAGCAGTGACACCACAGTAGCGGCTTCGTTTTGACAGAGGCCGCTGCTGCAGAAGAGGCAAAGTCCAAGAAATGCCTTCGTGGCTCGGATGGAAGAGGGATGATGTGGCCAGGGGTATGGCAACATGCTATGCATTTGATGCAACCGACAGCAAGAGGAATATAGCGCAGGATGGCTTTAGGATGACCAAGCGCAGGCGGAGGTATTTTGTTAGTTTGTTTTAGTTTGTTTCTTGTTATTGTTTGGAACTTGAAGACTCCTGCCTTTCCTTTGTGTGGATGCCCAACTGATTCACGCTCCCAAGACAAAGAGGATAGCTGACTAGCGTTTGGATTAGATACTGGAGCTCGATAGGCGTTCTTGTGATGTGTGTTTGCGCTACCTCGGGCTTGCCGCATGGGATAGTTCTTGTGCCAAAACTCCTGATATGCTTGCGGTCTCAGTGCGTTGGTTGTGGGAAGGTGCGTCTTTATGGGCATCTTGTTTGCAAAGGGAGGGCCAGTTAATTTTGGAACGTTTTTTGTTTCCTTTTTTGGATTTTGTTTTGTTTTTCGTGGCTTCTGGCTTCTGGCTTCTGTGGCTTTTGGCTTTCGTGGCTTCTGTGGCTTTTGGCTTTCGTGGCTTTTGTGGCTTTTGGCTTTTTGGCCTATCCATCTATTTGTATCTATATCTATCTGTCTATATCTATCTACCTTTCTTTCTTTCTTTTTGGCAGCTGTTCTCCTTTCTCTGTTTGCATTTGCTTTTCCTGTTGTTTGCGTTGCAGAGACGAAACCAAACAAGGAAGCAAGCAAGCAAGGAAGCAAGCAAGCACGAGCTGCTCACCTTTGGATCTGGTGTGCTGCTGGAAGGGCGCTGCCCCCCCCCCCCCCCCCCCCCAACCCCCCCCGCGCCACGAAATCTGCACTTCATCCCCGGCGCAAAACTTTCTAACCAAGCAAATATGCCTCTTCTATCTATCTATCTATCTATCGATCCATTTATCGTTCTGTCTATCTATCTATCTATCTGTCTTTCTTTCCTTCTTTCTTTCTTTCGTTCTTTCTTTCTTTCTTTCTTTCTTATCTATCTAATCTATCTTATCTATCTAATCTATCTAATCGATCGATCGATCGATCTATTTATCGTTCTATCTTTTTATCTATCTGCAGTTCAGCATCCACAAAGTAATGCACCTGCCACGAAATCTGCACTTCAAGGTCCACAAAGTCTTGCGCCTGCCACGAAAGCACTCCAAGGCCCACAAAGTCCTGCACCTGCCACCAACTCTACACTTCCACATCCACAAAGTCCTGCATCTGCCACGAAATCTGCAGCCAGCTCGCAGCACCATCACCACCACCGCCACCCAGCACCAGCACCAGCATGTCTCCACCCCGTGCACAGCCACCTCACAGCACCAGCGCCGGCACCGGCCTGGCACCTGTCTCCACCACAGCTCATAGCACCAGCACCAGCACCATGCACCAGCACCGGCACCACCTGTCTCCACCACCACAGCACCGGCGCCCAGCACCCAGTACCAGCATCGGCACCAGCAACCTGTCTCCACCACGCACGGCGCCCTGCACCCAGCGCCGCACCCGGCACCCGCACCGCCACCAGAACCCGCACCAGCACCAGCGCCCAGCACCCAGCACCACCACGCAGCTGAGCGATCGGGCAGCACCGCTGGAGCATCATGCTGCCTACCAGTGCACGTGTCTCACACCAGCAACCTGTCTCCACCATGTCCACAGCCAGCTCCAGCACCAGCACCGGCACCAGCAACCTGTCTC